TGGTAGCTGCAACAAAAACAGAAGTCAAGTGTGTGCCAAACCAGACTTGGTTAATTGCTTGCATGCTTATATTAAACTCCCATTAAAGTTTCCCACCAACTTTTTCAACCACTTTCTTGTCCACTTCATCCATATGATTTTTCCCCAACAGGCCCCTAATTAACTAGCCAGTAGGTGTACCCTTTATGTAATTAATCATAGTGACTGCTAAATCTGGTTAATCTTGTATAAGTTTTCCTTCTGTCAGTCAAATGGGCAAAGGTCTATGATCCCCCCGGTTTTTCAAACTCCTATTATATAGTTTTACCTCTGATATCACTAAATGACTTCCATGAAATGGGAATAGCACTATTTTGCTATTCCCGGCCAATAATGCTATGACACGCGTGATAACACTTCCACGTGGCATAGCATTATTGGCTGGGATAGCAAAACAATGCTATCCCCGTTGCAACCAAGTTTTCCTCATTCATAAGACACTCAACAGAATGAGAACACATCTACTACTAGTCAAAGTTGAATATTTTCTGCTGTTAGGTGTCAGAGTCTGATATAATTATGTGTGTCATGTATGTAACCATAATTTTCAAACCAAAGATCTGATTTTTCCCCAGAGAGAAAGTGTACAAGACTACCAATGACCGTGCTCTGATTGGAACTTTGCCAAAATAGAAAAGATGCTGTCATGGCATAATGATGTATATATTTTGTCAAGATATGGCTATTGCATCAGTGCAGTTCTATAAGCATGTATCTAAAGATTAATAGTTGACAGCTAAGTATTAACTTACCATATGAGGAAGGCCTTTTAATGATTTGATAGAACAGCTGATATATTTTGTCTGTAAACAGAATTCTAAGGCCTGGAAGCTCTTGATTCAGCTTTGCCACCATATTGCTCAACTTCCCATTAAATTCCACAGCCACATTGTTATGTTCCTGCACACAATCATGATTAGCCATGAAATTTCTGGCTCTCTCTAATGGCAGACACCCCATTGGAGGAAGCCCAGTTAGAGATATTTTTCTGACCCCAAGACTGTAGATTTCCCTGATGAAATTTTCAGAAAGTCCAATAAGGAAATCCTCAAACTGTTGGACTGTGAATTCCATTTGCCGGGTGGGTATTGTGTAGTAGTTTTCCAGGAAGTCATTTGTTCCTAAGCTTATCAAATATAAAGCCTCTGTCAAAATTTTCTTTGCCTTGGCCTTGCCAAGATAGGCTCTCAATTTGTTCTGGTACTCCTTATAGTACTCCACTTCTTTCCACAGAGGTATCACATTCTGCATTGTACACCAAGTTAGTTTTTATGAGAATTTTTTTTTAACCAAATATTCAAATTTGAAGCATTGATCAGGCGAATTGTCCAAATTGATAGTCTAGTAACATAACATTCTTGATACATAACGCGAACAATATTAACTAAAATTTAGACAAGCAAAGTATGAAAATACATGGGGCATTGTATTTGCATGCATGCATGATTCATACTGTAATAAGATGATGATTAAAGCAAGATAAGGCAAACCCTTATTGTGAATGATGAGACAAATCCAAATTCCGAGACAAAGGGCTTTCAAATTATAGCAGATAAATGCAACATAAAGAAAGAGGCTGATATCTTTTGATGTGTAGGAGACTTACTAGTACATTAGAAGTTGCAGTGTCATAGCCAGTTCCAGCAGAAGCAAAGCAAACACCAGTGGCAAAATCTGATATCCCATATTTGGGGTCCAAGTAGGCAGGAACAAATGGTTTGAGCCCAAAAGCCTCAGAGATGAAATCTGGAGGAACTCGACCATTCGAGAACCTTCCTGTGGGCTGGCCACCAGCAAAGTCACGCCCATATGGCTTGAAATTACTCTTCAGAAGTGTAGAGATCCTGTTGTTGTTTCCTGAGTCCACAGATGAGTCTCCAAACACAATAATAGCTGGAACTTTAGCCTCATACTTTGCTACTTGCAGTAGGATTTGAGTGAACAAGAGCCATGGAGTGTATAAGTATGCCATTTACTCTTAGCTACTTTGTGTCAGTGGCTACTGGCAAAGGCTGGAGATATTTGAGATGAGATTGTGATATAAAATAATATGAGAGGAGCTGAGAAATTTGTGGAACTTGTGGAGAAGAGTGTTTGGTGGGTGAGAACATGTAATGGTGATTTGTACTCTAGGAATAGGAGCCTACTGGCTAGAATGCAGGTAGGCATAGTTATGTCCAATGACTTTTGCAGTAATGTGACAGAAAATTCAGAAAAAGACTTGTGTGATACAGGGATTTCACTGGTTTTTTATTCCGGTCATTCACGATATGCCAAGTGTGATAACTTTTTCGCTTGGCATTGTGTTTCTCCGAAAAATTAACAATGCTTTCCTAAAGAGATTAGGAACCAAGGAAATAAACATGAGAGGAAGCAAACACACCTACAGGCTACCAGTAAAAGCAAGCTGCAATGCCATGAGTTTGCAGGCCAATTCAATTATGTCAGTTGTTGTGTTTGGTAACCTGGTTTAAAATTCAGTTCTAGTTATAGGAGCAGCACCAAGACATTGCATAGGTCCTAATCTCATTTGTTTAAACTTCACAACTCTAGATATATATATATGACAAATTAAGAACAAAACAGATATAGCAAATGATAATGAATGGGGTTTTAATCCAAAAAATTGTTGTTGAACTCTGCGTTTTGTATTAATCAAAGGTCAATAAACCCAAGTTTGTGGTCCTGATGTTAGGAAGGTGATTATAAATTCCCAACTAGTTTTGAGTTTACATTATTGGTGGGATCGTTCATCAAAATTCACTTTTTGAGTAAGCGGGACAGAGGGTAGTTCTAGCATTTAAGGGAGACAGAGACAGTGACAGGCCCTAGTTAAATTGTTCTGAACCCAAAAGAAAGCTGGCTTTTCTGTATGAGGCTCATTTATAGACCTTTTCTGTGCTCTGAATTGGCTACTACAAGTTACAAGGACTCTTTAAATTATAAACCAGATTTCTTTGCTTTTTTAAGTTCATTTTGCAGATGAGTGATTCGATCGTACCAACTCATATGCACCAGATTTCATCATATAATTATGAAGTTAAATGAATTTGGGTAAGAATAGTACTAGAATGGGTGACCTTGGGGGAGTCCTCGTATTAGTTCTTAGGGCATCTCCTATGCTAAAGGGGCTAAACCCAAATTTTCACCCTTTATAATACAACTATTCATGTATTGCCCGCACTCAAACAGTTTTTTCCTCAAACCCTCACACTCAAATTTTGACCCCTCATCTTTATTAAATTATTAAAAAATGGTTTAACTGTATTTATTTTGTGTAGTTAATTTTTCTTGAGTTAATTTTTATTTATTACTTTTTGATTTATTTTTCTGAACATTTTGACCTAAATTTTTTGAAATTCTACAAAACTAATTTTATCTATGTATATATAAAGTAAATGGCAGAGAATGATAAAACATTCAAAATACCAAAAAATACCATTGGTTAATAAAAACATTAAGAATTGAAATGATTAATTAAATGGGGATAATATAGTAAATTCACACTTTTTCATATTAAAATAAATTAAAATAAAAAGAAAAATTAGATAATTGATCATATTTTTATGGAACACAACTACCCATTATCTTTTTTAATTCTAAAATAAAATAAATTTTTTTTTAAAAAAAACTTCTTGCAGGCACAGAAGCGCGTGTGGAGGCTAGTTTCACTTAAACATAAATGGATGGTATAAATGAGTGGGTATTTATAGAATTTTGGAGTTGAATATAATTTAGATAAATTTAAAAAGTTATTTTAACCATTTTATTTAAATTTCAACCATTACATATCCTTTTTAACCATTGAATTGCCCAACTTTGCATCACAACCATTGATCTAATCTAAGTACCGTTGGGTTTTTTTTTTTTATTTTTATTATTTAAAAAAGGTCAGATTCAAAAGAGAGCCTTTGATTTCCCTGGGACAAGTGCTGTTGGCTCGCCACGTGGCATGCGAAAAGGCCAAGTGGCCGACATGCTGATGTTGCCAAGGCCAAGTTGGCTTCCAATTTGGTCACCATTGATTTCCGGTTCAGGCAAAACACCAGGCGCTATTTAGCCCAAGTTATAGTCTAGCCCCAACATTCGAGAAAGGATATTGAGGTTCAAACTCGAATTTGACCTTTTTAGCCTCTTCAAACTCGGATTGGAGATGGCCTCAGGGATGAAAAACAACTAAGTATCAATTTCTTCTTTCTTCACTTTATCTTAGTGCCTACAAGCAAGCTATACATCCATCTATGACTCTTCATTTTTTTCAAGCACTTGAGTTCACGTACACATTTGTTTCAAGATACTCCATACATATACATGAATAAATACATAAATCAATATTTAAATCCTATTAAAATCCTGCACTCTAAATGATGAAATTTTTGATTTAATTTTATAATTAATCTTTACACAAAGAGAGAAAAGAGCAAGGCTTTGCAGATCTGTGATTGTGACATCAATTGTGCTTTGTGGTTATGTTTTTTTTTCATGTCTATTCATGTCACACTCATGTTTAGGTGTTTATTTCTTCTTTGAGTCATCTTTGTCGAATCTCATAAATAATTATGTTTTGTAATAAGATAAGGAATTCAAAAAAAATAAGTGGCTTGGCGTGTATTAGTGTCACACATAAAAATATAACTTCATTGTACGATAAAGTTAGATCACGTGATGAGTGTTGTAGACACAACTGTTCGATTAATTTGTTGTAAGTAAGTTTTTCACCTACACATCCCATGCAACGCGAAAATCTGGTGAATCTAAGGCAGTGGAAGAGTAACAATTTGCCATCAATCAAGTTTTGGCTTCCTCACCTGAAACATTGATATTGATTCATCTCCTTCAATTTCTTCCAAATAAAATCTTTTTAGCTGTTATCACCGTTTTGGTCTTAGCCAATTATTGGGCCACTCTGGTTCTGCATCCCTTTTAGCCCATGAAAAAAGAGGCCCTACTGAACATTTCAAGTGGGCTTCGGCGAAACTCAGCCAAAAACTAACCCAAAAATTCCGAAGCAGTTTTCTGAAACCCTCTGCTTTCTTCCACTGCTTGCCTCTGCTCCTCAACTGTAAGTTCTTCCTTGGCAACTTTGCTTGCATTCTCATTTTCTTTTTAATATTTAAATTGCTATGTATTTTCTTGAAGAAAATCAATTATTTTTATTGGGTCCAAATAATGGCTGCCTAATTACAACGCTGAAGCTTAAATTTGGGTACTTATGAGCTTACTAACTTCAATTTTGTACTCATTTTTCTTATCCTGCTGTATAAAGTTTGTTAATTTACTTTGCATTTTGTTTTTCCTGCATTTGGGTAATGATTGTTTCGTTTGTTCATTGCCTAAGATTTTCAACACACTGCTTTTCTTGTGCCCATGAACCAGAATGCCTAAGAGGTATTCAGAATGCGGTTCAGAACAATATGGAAAGTGGGTGGTAGAAATGTTGTGGGCTTCTCTAGGCCACTCCGAAGATATACATCAGTTTCAAGCAGAGATGTAATGGATGTGGCTGTTAAAGATGGGGAGCTGAGGGTCTTCATAGTCGCTGGAGAGGTTTCTGGGGACACCATTGGCTCTCGTCTAATGGCATCTCTAAAGAAGCTCTGTCCAGTTCCTGTCCGTTTTTCTGGTGTTGGAGGGTAAACTTTTAATTTCCCTGCAGTCTTATTGGAATTATAATTCTTTTCAGAAATCCTTTTTTGATGGGGTTATGTTAGCAGCTCCTCTTCTGTTAAATCTCCTTGTCTAATAGTGAGTGTGTTTAATTAATTGTGTTATTTTTTTTTAATAAGGACAGAAAATATTCACATGGATGAGATTTAGGCACTTTGGACAAAACCATGGTTTTCAAAATTTTGTTGTTTGAATGATATTTGATTAAACTTCTTCCTGACGTTGTTGGAGGTCTTTGTTTTCTCGTCATATTATTTTCAGGTCCATGATGTCTAAACAAGGATTAAAATCTCTGTTTCCTATGGAGGATATTGCGGTAATGGGATTATTGGAGTTATTGCCTCATCTGAATAGGCTCAGAGTGAGTGTGAGCTACATAAGACTTTACTTAACAAAGTCTATGATGAATGCAGTTTTAATTTAATTTAATTTTTATCTTTGTAAGCATCTTTGTTACAAGAGAAAAGATTGCTGCATCCTGGCATCTTGTTAGGTCAAGGTTTTAAAACTGGAACATGATTGTGTCAGGTGAAGCTGCAGGAGACAACAGAGGCTGCTCTTCTGTTTCAACCTCATGTTGTTGTAACAGTGGATTCCAAGGGTTTCTCTTTCCGTCTCTTAAAGCAGTTACGGGGTAATATGCGCCACCTTCTTGGAGTTATAATCAGACTTTAGTGATACATATGGTGTTGGAAATTGGCGACATGCTTTTTGCAGCTAGATACAATCAACAGAGATTCAATGTTCCAGTACACTTCCATTATGTAGCCCCATCGTTCTGGGCTTGGAAAGGGGGTGAAGCAAGACTCGGAGGCCTGACTGAATTTGTGGATCATGTCTTGTGTATACTTCCAAATGAAGAAGAAGTTTGCCGATCAAATGGACTAGCTGCAACCTTTGTGGGCCACCCCATTCTGGAGGATGTTTTGGAGTTAAATTTGGTATGATTTGTTTTCATTCTTTTGGGATTTCTCAGATTTTTAGTTTAATGTTCTTTCTTCCAGAAAGCTGTGAATATAACGTAGTATATAACTAAATATGCTGTTCAAATTGATTTCACTTTTAAGTTTAAAGTACTGATACGTAGTATTGTTTTTGGAAGGACACTGCACCTCATGAATGGAAGATAGAAGGAAACTGTGAAGATTTCAGAAAGAGATATTCAATACCTGCAGGTAAAATCTACTATTCTGTTTTAATTTTTTTTTTTATAAAAATATCCTATGTGCTACCTAAGAGTGATTGAGTTATAGTGGTCTAAAAATTGAGGTTGCAAAATGACACTTTCTCCATCAACTGGTGTTTTTTCCTTTTCTTCTCCTTATTATAGGTATTTTTTCAGTAAATTATTTAAGCTCCGTATTGTTATTAGGAATATAATATTTGAATCATTGATCTTCTCTGATATTTCCTCCCCAAGTCCTTATTGAGTCATCTTTCTGCTCGTGCACATTTCTTCCTCTGTTCATACATATAATATGTGTGTTTTATTTTGCAGGAACCACAGTCATTTCCTTGCTTCCTGGAAGCAGATTACAAGAGGTCACCAGAATGCTTTCCATC